CGAGTTTGCGTGTCGAACCGTCGCGGAGGGATGCACTGCAGCCAGACTATATATACATAGTACACGACAAAGCTGGCCGAGTACTGGCGTGTATGAGGAAGTTAATTTTTTTTGTCCAGACGTTCGAGATCTATTATTATAATATTACGGTTTGGTATAAAATAAAAGACAATCTTATAGGATAATAATATTATAATCATAATAATATACTATTTTCCGCGATTCGGCTTCCGTCCGGGCACCATCACTCGTCGGTACGTCATCATTACATATACGACGTACGTGTTTTATTATCACAAATTATAAAGTTTTACCGTTTGCGTTTAATGTTAATAATAATATAATATGCCCATAGGTATATAATATTATCTATATCATCATCCTCTCGTAATCTCGATTGTATTATTTCGATTTAACATATTATTATTATCGTGTTACGTCGGCGACGACGATTACGTACTATCATAATATATTGTAATAATATAACAGAGACCGTATATTAGAAGGCCTCGCGCCAATCGGAGCGTATATTATTTCCGACGCGAAATCACGACAAAGCGCGCGCCGGCGTCATCGTATCCGTCATCCGTACGCGATTCGAATACGCGTCTGAGGGTGTGTTTTTTTCAACGCCCACGCACGTTTTTTTGTGTCATGCGCACTGTATACTATTGGTGCATAGTGATTCGTATATCTATAAATATAAAAATGGAGACAAAAAATTCGAAATTGCATCAGTTGAGAACGGCTGGGCCGATTTTGCTCAAATTTTTTTTAAGATGTTCGTAACTGCCAGGTGAAGGTTTATACGAATGAAAATTTTTAAAAAGTCAACCGAATAATTAGAAAAACTGCAAAAACTATTTATTGATGTCTGGGATTTGAACTCGATACCGTTGTCTTTATATTTTACTCTATGGTGTATTATATTATATTGGTTGCTATTGGTTAATCGTTCATGTTTGTTGATTTGTATTATTATTTTTTGTAAATATATCTTATATATAAATTAATGACGGTGTGTAGATTAGACCTATGGGAAGAAGATACGCTAATTTAAGAAGGGTTAAATTTGGTTTTTTTTATTCATCGGATTTTAGTACGGTTATGTTAGGTTAGGATTTTTAGGTAGGTGGAATTAAGTAAAAACGTCAAACTTGGTATAACTTTTATACTTTTTGAGTTAAATCATACACTTACGTACAAACAGCACGGGGTCCGCGATCTACCGCAGGTAAATTACCTATCTGATAATGTACTGCTGCAATTCAGAATTTTTATTCCGGGCAAAAGAAAAGTTAAGATAAATCTAGAACATCATACACCGAATATTAAATAACGCATTGAACAATGTTTAAGTCATATAGAGTTGGTACATTTAACGGGAAACGAAGTGCACGGGATCAGCTAGTTATATTATAGTTTACACGCGATCTGGGTAATATATCATAGTAATAATATTATTATTATCTGCGTTCGGATAATATAATGAAGTCAAATTGTTTTCCCAAAGTCTGAGGACTCTGATATTAACATAATATTATAGACGTATAGTTTGAAACAAAATAAAAGGTACCTACCTAATCTTAGGATAATATACTATTTTCCACGATTATCGTGAGGCGCGTGTTTCTCCGCATAAAATACAAATGGGCGAGTGTATGCATTTCGCCGATTGTTTTGTCCTATACAATATATAGAAATTCTTTACGTTTTCCGACATCTTGCGATAAAACTATCGCATATACCTATATACTTAGGTTATAGCCTATATATAGAATTATTTCACTGTATACCGTGGACATGATAACGAAACAACATAATATTTATAATAATATGATCCTATATACACCTATATTTGTTATCCCCGTGCTGATATGCGTTTCTTTTGCTATTGAATGGTACATTGTCCAACAAGATCGCTATAAGCTACAGTCGAACGTGGTTAATTCGAAGCTGATGGCCAGAAATTCAAGAATTCGATTTATCCAAGGATAATACACAATCATCAGAAATTCTAGAGACCGGGGACAAAGTTCGGTGTATCGACGAACTCGAGTTAAAGAAGTCCGAGTCCACCGAGTTTGACTGTATATATTTCATGTTGGATCATCGAGAGAATGGTAGCCTGCAAATCGGATTTTCAGACAACCCTAATGTACCTATATGTACCAATATACCTATGCACATCACGCAAACGTAATTCGACACAATATACAATATGTACGCGTGCTATTCTATAATGCTATACTCGTATATTAGACATCATACTCGTCGACTCGTCTGTCGGAGCAGCTGGGTCAAGGACGTGCTCACCCCTTTCGGCCGTCTTGTGCGCGTCGTTTGTAATGTTATTATTATTATTGTATATCATAAACAAAAATGTCGAGTGGGCTCAGATCGCACTCGGTCCCGAACACAATCGTTACATTGTTTGAGCGCCAACGACCGCTATACATAATAATGATAATAATATAATAATAATAATAATAATAATAATAATGTGCATATAATATTATAATAAACGACTGCGGCGGCGCACTCGGGACGTGGGCCGCCGCCGCGGCACGTCGCGAGACAATGGCGTGCGAGAGAAAAAATTCGCGACCAAAGAGCACATAATTATCATAATATACAATATAAAATTGTATGTAGTGCACTCGCGGTACTACCCGACGAAGCGTCCCACATCCGCATTATACATAATAATATTATTATAATGTAATGCTCTGTGTGTTAATTTTTTTTTTTTTGTCTTTAGCTTTTTCCAACTGTTCATTGTCGTCCGCGATGGCCTACTCGAAATCGCGGGCAGTCAATCGAGACCAATTAAAACGAAAACGGTTACGAACGGATTATATTATATATTTGCCTATGCAGTGTGGGCTGCAGCGGTGAAACAGGCGTATAATTTGTCATTTTTTCTCTCTTCCGTCTCGCGGCTAGCGATAATTATATATAGGAAGAGCGTGTGCAGTGCCAGTTTAATATAAGCGTACTATATGTGTGCATTATTATAGCGTTGGCCAACGACATCGTTTCTGACACCGATGTCATGCTCGTACATTTTTCCAACACCCCATAGCCCATAATATTATTATAACACACTCCTCGTATCGAAAAGTATTGGATTTATTAAATATTTAAAAACAAAATTTGAATTTGTCATTATCCTTATATGATCATCGTAGTTTTACGAATAGGTACCTACGATTACCTATATGGTGAAACTGAAAGATAGATTATCTATTTCCGATTTAGTTTATTTTGTTTTAGTCAATACACTAACTGAAAATCAAAGTCTTGAACGGTAAATGGATAGAAATTTTAATTCCCCAAACCTGGCGGATCCATGTGGGTATCTATAGCTAACAATCGGTAAACTAGATTCGATGTATATTGACAATTTCTAATATGATACCGGATATTGTTACTTGTTAGTCATCACTATAGTTTAATATACTATATAGTAAGTACCTATATATATAGCATATACAGTACCCATATACAATCTGAAGTTTATGAATAAAGCGTTTAAGGGTTCTTAATACCTGTGACGATAATATAATATAGCACCAAGCAAAATCTTCTTTTTGCAAAATATTTCTTATAACCATGAAGTCACAATAAGCCCGTCTTGACTTTTGGTCATTTTAAGTTGCCATCCCTTCAGATACTAGTAGGTAATACATCCCATCCTAATGAGGGGCTTTATCATTTATTTGTTCTACAATATTTTCCAAAAACACATGGCAGTATCTAAAAAACATTTTTCTCTTAAAACTGGCGATCATATTATAATTTAAATAATGTAATAACTATTTATTAAAATATCATATTATATATAGGTTAGTGTTTAAACTGTTTAAAGCCTAGAATTGTAATTTATATACTCCACAATTTCAATTTTTCGTCCTGATATTATTTTTCCATATCGCTCATTATAATATTATTATATCTATAAATTCGGAGCTGTAGAGTCGTAGTGTATTATCATATAAACATATATATTATATATATATATAATATACATATACCTACAGTATTCGCGGTACAGGAAAACGTTTTTAACGACTCGTCGTCGAGTAGGTATGCATATATATATATAATATAATAGGACCGAACAGTGTGTTATACAGTTATATATCGTTTGACGCGGCTTTCTCGTCGCACCTCGTCGTCAGATAATCATATAGATATGTACATACAAACAACCACACTTGATACACACATACTCACACACACACACATTGTAGGTACCTACATGATTGATACGAATCTCGCGAATGGAATGTTGTGGCGTCGATCGATCCGTATATTATTGCAATACCCCCAGGATAGATCACACATGTAGAATGATAATATACATGTGCCCAATGCGATTTACTAGTGTGTGTCTATATATGATTCATTAAAATATACAAATTGTCATAGGCCATAGGCACATTTAGACCCCCTCTCCCCCTCCAAATGTTTCAGAAAGAAAATATGTAAATGTATGTGTCCTAGATAAATGAAACGCAGTTGACATTGAGAAAAAATAGTAAACACTTAATCAAATAAATATATTTTTTTATCCATTGCAGCATACGAAATGCCAATGATCCATACCATGGCCATTCGCAATAATTGTTCTGTTCTAAATGTTGAAAATTATAACTTGAAGTATTGTGGAAATAGTAAATAGATAATTCAGTATAGTATCAAAACGATTTATAGAAACTCGAAGAAGAACAAAATATGAAGTTTCTAAAACCCAATATTCGTTTTTCATCGTGAATTAATATATTATTTTATCCATTGCAGCGCTTGCGTAGGTACGAAGTCATGATAATCATATATAAATAATATAGGGCTGGCCGTTGGTATATTATATTATTATAACGATAACGCGATGACGACATTACCGCCATGTCCTCCTACAATACGTGTCATCAAATGTACTGCACAATATACAACGACGTGTACTACATCGGTGTAATTTTTTTTTTGTTTTCCAGGCGAAAAACCGTACCGGTGCACGTGGTCGGCATGCGAGTGGAGCTTCGCGCGGTCGGACGAGCTGACCAGACACTACCGGAAGCACACCGGCGACAAACCCTTCCGGTGCGAAGTGTGCGAGCGGTGTTTTGCCCGGTCCGATCATCTGGCGCTGCACAAGAAACGCCATCAGCCGAAGAACGCGGCGGCCGCAGTGGCGGCGCAACATCCGCAGCTGATGGACCATCCGTCGTCCAAAGGCGACCACCAACAGCAAAAGCAACAGCAGCAACAGCAGCAACAGTTGATGATTTTGAACGGCGGCGTCGGAATGGTGCCCGCCGTGGCAAAGGCCGGCGGAGAGTACGTCGTCGATGGTCAGCAGCAGCCCCCGATCTGCAGGCAAATGGTGCCGGCCTTGTGATGACCGTCGGTCATCACGTGATAATAATGATAATTTGTGATATTATACTTTTGTTTAATATTGTTGATTAATATTATTTAATTGTGTATATTATTCGTGACGACGACGGTAGGCGGCTGCGGTAGTCGACGATCAGGGGCGGGGGAGGGGGGGATTTTTGTGAGTTTTTTCCATTTTTTCTTTTCGTGGTATTTTTCTGCACACGGAAACAATCGCCTGTTGCTGCTGCTGCTGCAGTTGACCCGTAGGAATTCGGTCGTCGGCCGTCGCACAATGACACCTTAACGAACGACCATTGTGCGAGCCAGAGAAAATAATAATAGTAATAATAATAATAATAATATATCATACAACTATCGCGCATGCATATTATTATTATTGTGTGTACGACGCGCGTGTGCGCCATTCGAAAATGGAAGAAAAAACAAAAAGAACGGATAAGTGACGGACAAACGACCGCGACCTCGCCGCCATTTCGGGTCAAACAGCGCGTAAGTACCGTCGTCGACGTGTGTACAATATCATCGGTTCTCCTGTAAAGCAAACACATCGGACAGCGGCAACAAAATAATATTAATAATAATAATAATAGTAATAATGCGGTACCTGTATTATAGCAATATAATAATCATATAATGCTGCGGTTTGTATAGTAGCCCACACGCGCGAGCGCGAACTCTGCGCGCACTATTAATAAATAATAATAATAATAATAACACACATTATTATACAATAATGAAATCTATCGTTTCTCGCCTTTTTCTTCCACCACCTCTCGTCGTAGGGTTATTACTATTATTTATTTACTTATTATTATTATTATTATTTTCATTTTTTTTTTTTTTTAATCGTCTGCGGTCTTGTGATTAATGATCCGGTCGTGTCCCCCGGCTGCGTCGCTCGCACAATACTAGGCTGATTAACGGAATGATTGACCCGATTCCCCGCTCCGCATAGATCCCCGAGGGGTCCCGCACCTCCCCTCTCGCCGACACTCGCCCTTCATTGTACTATTTTTTTTTATTTTTTTTTCGCGATTCTTAGCCTAAATTTCTCGACGACACTCAATCTAATGTACCAACTTGTACATAATATTATATATTATAAGTGTCCTCCGCCCATATATCGACAAAACTGACAACACTCGCCGATAATATATTATTATAATAATATAATCGGTGTGTATATTATAATACGATATATATATATATATACATAGTGACTACCTAAACGAGATGTGTGTATGTGTGTATATTATATATATAGTGTTCGCAGTCGGTATCTGACAATTCTCCAACAAGAAACTATATACCTACAACAGACGTTCCGTCGTGTTTTTTTTTGAACTTAAAACGGACGCGAAGTCACCCGAATAAAATTCACCGTCCTTGAATTTTATCGTAATAGATATAATAATATTATAAGCGTACATCGCGACCAATATATGTTCCAATTTATTTCCATTTTACCGGATAACCACTGTCGTACGCCAGTGACCACCGCCGGTTTATCATCGATTATACTGGGGGAATATAATAAAAAATATATATACTAGTAACGTTAATTATTTTAGATTTAAAATTTCAATTTGATTATATTATTATTATTGTAAAAATATATTTACGATAATTAGAATTACGAATTTAATGATACGTGTACATAAAGTAGTCGATAGTGAAACACATTTCCTCGTATGTATATGAACAACAATTATAATTATTACTATTGTATAAGAATATACCTAGTGGGATAAAAAATGTATAATATTTTTGTTATTTTGTTAAAGTTTTTGTAAACACGTCCTAATCAATTAGAGATGCATATTATAAAAAATGTTTACGTTTAATATTATTTATTTCAAACTCTCTTTCTTATACATATATATATATATTATATATTATATTGTCATCTTAGTTTTACGATATAAATATATGTTTAACTAAATAATCCATTTATACCATACATCTCGAAAATCACTTAATTATAGTTATGTTGCACACGATTTTAATCATTTTATTCTTCTCATCGCGTTTATAAGGGGATAAACCAAAGATTGCTTCCAAACATTGTTGTACTTTTGGTTTCGCCGCTGAAAAACTGTACCTCTTTGTAAACCCGTTTTATCATTTCATTATTGTCTTACACAGAAAGTATATAATACTATAATAGCATAATAATCCTAACCATTTGATCATATATAAGCTTTCGAGCATGAAATCAAAATAATTTTTGTTTAAAGCGTGTAAATCGCTTGATCTCATTAAAACCAAAACCAGTGATATAAAAAACGGATTTAAGCGAATTTTTTGTACGTATCAATATCATAATTAACTACCTACCTATATAATAATAATATATTATTTTTTTGTCGCGTTTTTAATGTCGATTTTCCACCACGCCCACAATTTGCTTTTAATCATTTAATTTATGTTATACATATTAGTAGGTATATATATTATTATACTTTAATAGCTGTAATATTTAACATTTTGCCAGTGACATAGTGGATTACAAACATTAATGGCATTACGTTTAGAAATTGTACAAAATACGAATTTAAGTTGTCTAAATTATTTTGTTAGAATTAATTTTTTATGATCATTATTTGTTTTTTTTTTTTTTTTTAATTTGTTAAGTTACTGTCCGAGGGTCTTATCCACCCTCGATATACCTATTTAGCAAATATTATTAAAATCTATTTTGTTCTTACTCGTTGTTTGTTACTATATTAGCATTATTATTACCTATCTCTATTACATAATAATATCCTTTTCGTATACAATCACCCTAGTGCAGACGAAAAAAAAAAAAAAAAGACAAGCGAAATGAAACGTCGAACATGTGGTCGGAACGTATAAACATTTACCGTTCCGAATCGTCCATGTGTGCGCCATGCAGGGCCAGTGAAGTAAAACGGTTAAAGTCGGCGGCCTCGATGATCTAAACTAGCAGCAATAATAACATTATATTAGTTACCCTCGTGTTGTATCATGTGAAAATATATATTACATACGAGTTAACGGCAACGATTTCAAAATAAACGGCTTTCGTGCGACGACGGCAAAATATGGAGATTGACGGGGGAGGGTTAACATTTTATATTTTGTAAACAATTTACGTACAACACACCCGCCCCGACTGTTTACAATAGGACACACACACACACACATAATATAAATCTTTGTGCACACGATTTAGCCTGTGCGCAGTGCGCTGCAGTGTGTGTTATATATTATGTGTGTTGTAAAAAATAAATAAATTCCAAGTGCCGTGTAGAACGACACGAAAACCAAAATTAAGTATACGCGTCTGCGGAGGTCACAAGTCATTCAACGGAGCCGAGTTGATATATTATACGGTGTGCCTGCGTAATATTTGCTGTCGACCATAATATATTATTATTATATAATAGTGTTGTAATGTTTTGATAAACCATATTAATCGTTAATGGTAAACAAAAATATTAACCCAACACGTTTTAGGTAGGTGTACATAAAAAATAATAAATCGGAACGTTTATTCGTTTGTTGACGCAATGACATAGATATTGTGTTTTTTTTGGCTGCTTAAAGCTTTTTGTTTTCCTACCGATTTTGTGTAAAGCTCCGTTGATCGCCTCAGAGACCCAAACAGGCGAATAAAAATATATCTGCGATTCATAGATTTACCTTGTAGAGGAAAATTAATATCCAATAGTGTGCTGCAGTGGTTTTTTGTTGGTTACGACTTACGTTGCGTATACCGTCCGTTTCAAAGGGTTTGATGTTCGAACCAGTTAAAACGTTCATTATCGTGTCGTTTTGATGAGTAAAGCACAATGTGCCACATTCTATTTTATTTGAAACAATAAAGAAAATCTATATTTTGTTTGGTAATTATATTTGAACCGTAAGGCCAAACCACCGATTTGGTGGTTATAGGTATACCTAGTTAAGGTTCGCCTATATTGGCTATAGCTATTAGTTATAAATACATATTGCACGCACGAGATTTGAGTCCTAGGATGACAGCCCTGGCGAGACAAGTCAGAAACCGAATACGATAACATAATAGCTATAATAATATAAATAGGTAAGTATACTAACGCACAAGGTGACTAGGTACACAAAATATATAACCGGGCCCGTTTTGTGTATAAATTGATAAAATATAGGAATGTGCTTCGTCGTTTTCACACGCATAATATACGAGCAAGTTGTGTTCGATTTGAAGACAAGTCAGAAAACGAATACCTACGATAACAGGTGACTATATAATATAAAGTTGACTTCCTAATGGGAATATTATCGGCAGATCTGCTGCGGTGTTGTGAAATTAATGAAAAAAATAAAACGATATCGTAAGTATAATATGCTTACCTATGACCTATGGCGTATGAGCGTAGACCATGTGCAGAATATATCTGCAGTGTACGAGTTACGTCAAAAAGTGAGCGCGTTCGGAGTGTGAAAGGTGATAGATGAGAGTAACTGCATAATAATGTGAACTGTTACGACTTGTCGGAGACTGTCTTTAAGTATAGGCAATGCGTACAACCGAAGAGTGTGAAGTGTTTCCGAGCTACTTCAAAAATGGTCGGATTGCCGCATATGCCTTTTTAAGCTACGGTGTTATCATTATTTTTGGATCTGCGTGCAATAATATTGAGCAATTTTGCCGGTCGTTAAATTGTTGATTTGTTCCCAATTCGCTATAAATCAACCGCGGCGTTAATCGTTATTTTACCATTTACAGCGACGGATGCCTAACACTTCAGAAAAACACACAAAAAGAACCGAAAATATTACGTTATAACAGCATAATAGGACAAGACGGACCAAGCGGGCTGCTGAAAATGTCCGTGTAAAAAATATCACGAAAATCTCAAAGCGAGAAATTAATCGGATTATATGTATATTTTATATTACTATGTATTACAATATAATGCTGCGGTCGTCGGTTTGTAAACGTAGATAATATAAAAACCTTTAAAAACCACAATAATAATATTGCGATTCGTG